AGGGGCACCTGGCACCTCTGTAGAGTCAGAGCATCGCATGCACAGGTGCCCACACTCACAGGGGTCAGGGAGTGGCCTTGCTACTCTATTTACGGCTACTCTAAGAGGCTGTGGCCTGTTTCTCGAGTCGAGCCTTAATCCTTCACGGGGTTTGCAGCCAGTCTTCTGGAAGCTCTCTCTGCCCACCTCAAAGAGTCAGGACCAGCAATGCTTCCAGAGCCTTTACTTGCAAATACCAACTTTCCAGACCGTCCCCAAAGGGAATGTTCTTTCTTTCTCTTATTTTCTGCTTGATCCAAGTATCAGCTGTGCCTTCAATGCAGTTCCAGCTGAGTGAAGCTAAGGTATTTTCTGAACCAACAAAGATGATTTTAGGCTCGATGGCTCGAGGCATTCCTCTGATGAAACAACATTTCAAAAAAGACTTAAGTCCACTTGTGTCTCTCCCTTGGGCCACAGACTGCCAGTAACTCCAAGAGCAAAGCTCCTTATACAAGGACACGACAGGAAGGGAGCCTCAGAAGCCAGGGCTAGCTGCCCCTTGCCCCAGCTTGGCTCTGGGCCACCCAGCCAGGAGCCAAAAGTGACTTTCCTGACATGGAGATGACAGCAGTTCAAGCAGGACCTTCATCACCAAGGAGACCCAGCACCATTCAGGAGCCAGCACGTGAATCCAATAATGTCCTCAAAGTCCATGTGAAGACATGGTAGACAGGGCTACAGCAGCCTTGGCAGGGAAACCACTGAACACCGGGCTCCAGCCAAATGCAGCACAATTTTGTGGAAGTCTAGAAATGCTGACTGTCCTTGGGAAGTGCTTAATATTGAGAAAATGATACCAGCTCCATACACTGCTAGCTCTCCCCGAAACATAAGAGAGCCTCCATTGGAAGACGCAGGGTGGTGAGGAACAGCTCTCAGGAGGATGGATCCCAGGGTGAGGGAAAGTTGTAGAGTTGGCTGAAAGTCTGAATAGTGCCGGCTCCACTGCACACTGGCTGTGTGATCCCTGGGGAGCCCCTCAACCTTTCTGAGCTAGGATATAAGACTCATTCCTTGGCCTCCTGCTGAAGGCTGAGACGACTGGTACACAGCTTAAGCGTGAGGTCAGGCACACAACAGGTGCTCTCCCTAAGGGCTTCACAAGCGAATCAGCAGTGCAAAGCCACTGGGAGAGTGGGGGAATGTGAGGCTGCAGGCTTGGCAAACCCATTGGTCCCATTTGTCATTTACCTACAAGGGCCAGAGACTCATGACAAAGATACTTGCAAAGAAGACAAGACCATTAGGAAAGTCAAGCTGGCCAGACACAAAGCTCTCCTGGGAGCAAGTTTTTCCAGATCGCTCCTAATAGCTAACTTGGCAACTGCGGGCATTTTTTGGAATGATCCATAGACCTTTCACTTCCTATGGGCCATGCTTCTGATTCTTCGTAGTTAATATTCGATCCCAATTTTGTTCAAAGAGTTCTAACATCTTTTCCATGTGGTGTCAGCCTCAATCACCAGAACAGGGGCTGCCACGGGAAAAAGGCTGCCTTTGATGAGCCACTCCTCATGGAGATGGTGAATTGTTTTCAGGTATTCCAGTGGAATGACATTTTCCTCTTCCCTGCATCTCCTCTTTAACCTCAGGATTGGTCTGAAGGTAAACTATCAAATCAACGGACACGTCCATGTTCCTCAAGATCCAGTCAAACCATTCCGACAGAACTATATAGTCCATTTCTGGCATCTTCCCGCTGCTTCTATACAGGTTTTCTACAAAAATGTATCTTGCGCTGTGAATCGACCTCTTCATCAACCGTACAGATGACATCTGAGGACGAGTATGCTATCAAGCATGGTGAGCTGCACATACTTCTGAAGTGTAAGGCCCCAGTGAGAGGCATCCTGATACATCAGGCACAGAGGATTGTAGCCACAGACATTTCTCCACTTGGACATGGGCTCCCTTAACACCTGGACGTCTGTCGCTTTAGAGAAGCACTCCAGGCATGTCGTCTTCCCACTTGCAATATTGCCCTCTACACAGATCACTGATTTTTTTCTCTTTTTCCTGTTCTGTATTTAGTACATTATACTTTGCATTTTCCACATGTCATCTGTTTAGATCTTCACAGACTGGGTGTTCAGCAAGTGGAAAGGCAGAGCGGCCTCCACTGGCGGTGCACGGGGAAGAGAGGGCAGCGAGCGTGGGTTTGGGCCTGGGACCCAGGTGCTCCTCTATGCCCAGGGCGGGCATCGCTGCCCATCCACCCCACATGGTTCTGAGGCGTCTCTCAACAGCCAGCTGTCGGATGCCAGAACTGGGCTATAAGAATCGCCAGTTTCCAAATGGGTCCCCACTCCCGGGGAGGGCAGGAGAGCGCCGGGAGCATAACCCCCACCCCCCAACGCTGGCACCAGAGTGCGAGGAGAAGCGGCTTAGGCAGCTCCCAGTCCCCATCGCCCCCAAGGCCGAAAAAATCGGGCCAGGAAACCCGAGTTTGGGCCAGAATGTTCAGAGCGGCCCCCGCCCCAGAGGGCAGGGGGTCCGTCCTGCTCTGTAAAGCCCCTCTGTCCATCCCGGAACAAGAGCCGGGCGCAGAACCCCACGGCCCCAGCGCTGGCTGCGGCCTGGCGCCCGGGTACCGATGGCCGCCACCGCCCCGCCTCAACCGAGACGAATCTCGGCCTTGGAGGAGGTGTTTCCGGCTCGCGCGGGTTCCGGGAGCCGAGGGGCGGGGAGTAGGGGGGCGCTTTGGGGCCCCTGGGAGACTGGACCAAGAAGTGCGTTACCGAGGCCAGGCCCCGCGGTGCACCCTCCGCGCCTGGGGCCTGAGGCCGGGCTCCTGGGGCTCCCCTGCCCCCGGCAGCGCAGTCCCCGGGCGGCCCAGCCCCGCAGTGGCCGCAGCAGCATAGCCGGCGAGCGGATCCCTGTGTATTTTAACTCTCACAATAGCATTGAGGTAGGTACTATTTTTATCAGTCTTTTATTCTATAAATGAGAAAATTGAGATACAGAGAGGTTAAGTAACTTTCTTTTTTGCCAAGATAAATCACTTTTATCTCTATAGGAAAGGGAGGATCTAAACAAAATATAAATTACATTAGTAACACAACATAAGAAAAAGACAGGGGCAAAACAACAAATAAGTCTGAATGATGTCACTCTAACCTATTTATTAAAAGGCCCTGCATTAGAAATTCACAATCCTACCCACTTCTAAAAATATATTTAGACATGTACAGAAGCGGTGGACTTGTTTTTAAATTGTTTGCTTTTTTTGTAAAAATATATTAAAGGTGAATAGAAATCCCGTCCCCCTTCCCTCTATCCAGCCCCCAGCTGGGGATTGGAGATCAGGGGTGACTATCTCGAGGTGTTCTAAACTTGGATTACTAACACTCCCAACTCTTCCCCAACTCACTTCACTTAGAACCTGAAACATTAAAAAACAAACAAACAACAACAAAAAAAGACATCAGCCTCTTTGGAAAAGCATAACTCTGGGTAAACTTGCTTTTAATTGGAAACACAAAATAACAAACAGGAGGCTCCAAGGACCCAACTAAGCTAAATGAAACCCAGGGAGGCTGGGTTTCAGCTCCACAGAAAGCTTAAGTTGATTGTATTCCCCCCCTCCCAAAAAAATTATAAATACAGGTGCTCATAGCTTGTCTGGGAACTTGGATTGGGGGAGGGTTCCCACCACTCATTCCAGCTCATTCCACAGCTGCTCCAGCCCCACCTGCAGCCGGTCCAGGTAGAGGCAGGTGCTGGGTCAGTACCTGCCTGGCCTGGCTCTGGCCCCACAAGGTGGTGACGGCCCGACCACTTGCCTGCACGGCTTCCAGCCCTGCCTGGGACAGCCGAAGGAGGAGGCCTGCCACACCATCCAGGGTGCCTGCCGGCTGTACCAGGCGCTGGAACCTTCTTTTCCAGACAGGCTTGCACCTGGGAGCCAACTGCTGCAATCCTGGACTGTTAGGACAGAGAAGAGGCTGGGACTCCCTCGGGGCCGCACAGGAATGAAATACACAAAAGTTCTTGGTGCCAGTGGCAGGTGCGGGCCTCACCCTGGGGCCTTGTGCTCTGGTTCCTGGGCACAGATGGACCCAAATGGCTCGGGGTTCCTGGCACTGTGGCCTTTTCCTCATGGGACACAGAAGCCTGGAGACAGCTTGGGGCCCTAGACAGGGACAGCCTCACTTTCTCCTCCCTGTTGTGCACATTTCCCTCCAACTGGACCAGGCTTTGAGAAGCTGAGGTGGAGACACATCCCACTAGGCCAACCCGCTGAGCCTCGAAGCTGTGAAGCTGGGAGCAGGAGGGCAAAGTCCTGAGTGGAGCCTGTCCCTGGTCTCTGTCTCCTGCCAGCCCCAGGCTCAGGAAGGGGCTGGCTGAGGAGGCTGCAGTCGGACCCTGGGCAGGTCACAGAGCCCCAAGTGGATGGAGTGCCACAGCCAGTGTTCGTAGTTGGTCTGTACTTCTCCCCAGAAGCTCTGCTGGGCACAAGAGGCCCCGAGGACATGCTCCAGCATGGCCTCCATGATGATCTTGTCTGCCTGAGATGGCCGATGCCTCTCGTATGTCAAGTTGTGCCGCATACGCTGCTGGCCCCAGGACAGGTTGAGCTGTTCAACGAAGAAGTCTATGGTCTGTGCTAGGGCCCCGCAGGCCCGGAGGGGGTACAGGCCCAAAGTTTCCTGCCCCTGGGAGGCAGCCAGGCAGCCATCCCAGGTGGTGCTGTGTGCTGAGAACCTGTTGGCCCAGGCGAGCTGCAGAGTCACAAGCTGTCCTCTGTTTCAGGTGAGCTGTCTTTCTGGTGCTTAAGTACTCCTTTAAAATACTGACGAGGGAAACATTTATATAAAATGTATTTTTATCCTCTATATATTCAAAAATCTCAGCAGCACCAGCAGCACGGAGGAAAAGGCAGTAAAGACCGTGCTCTGGGGCTACGAGCTCAGTCAGGAGAGGTGGACTTAGACCTTCAGACCCCAGCCAGAGGGGAAGCAGGGCTGCAGGCTGTTGCTTCATACAATTTGCTTAGGGGAGAAAACCAAAGAGGAGATGCATCGCGTGGAGATCCTGCCTCCAGGAAACTGGGAGGACAAGAAGACGCAGCTGGTCACCATTGCCTCGCTCCAGGCCTCAGTCCTCCCCATGGTCACCATGGTTGGAGTACAGCTTTCTCCCCCAGTTACTTTCCAACTCCGGGCTGGCTCAGGACCTGTGTTCCTCAGTGGCCAGGAGCGTTATGAAACCTGGGAGGAGGAGGAGGAAGAAGAAGGGGAAGAGGAAGAAGAGGAAGAGGAGGAGGAAGATGATGAGGGTGAGGATGTAGATATATCTCTGGAGGAGGAATCCCCTGTCAAACAAGGCAAAAGGCTGGTACCCCAGAAGCAGACGAGCATGGCTAAGAAAAAAAAGCTGGAAAAGAACAAGAGGAAGTAAGACCCAGCATTAGAGACAAGAGCCCTGAGAAGAAGGCCAAAGCCACACCCAGATCCAAAAAGCCAGGATTCAAGAAATGAGGAGCTACGCTTTGGGGGCCACGATGCAGAGTGGGCCTTCCCTGGCCTGTTCTGCAGGGACACGACACCCCTGCCCCACCCCTGCATTTGTCTGAATATGACAGGGGTGTTGTGGGGGCAACACGAGAGCCCCTCACCCCCACTCTCCACTTTCAGGAGGCCTCGAGTGCAGACCCCCACCTCGGGTCACAATAAAGTTGTCTGGTCAGGAAAAAAAAAATTATGGCTTTTTATACAAATTTGTATAGACTATAAATATATTTATATTCTATTTATATATTATAAAATATAATTTTATTTTCTCCATTTTTTTCACATTTTAAATAAAATTATTTAATGAAAAGCAGAGCCTAGTGACTGGGAGAAAATTTGAGCCATTAACTGATAAAGAAAACTAAAATTCAGACCAAAGGTTCTATAGGAGGCAGAAGGAAATAACGCAAAACCTTGGCATCAAACAGACCTGGAATCAAATCCTGACTCTGCTGTTTCTCACTGTGCAACCTTCAGCCAGCAACAACTCTGAACCTGAGCTTCCACCTCTGCAGAATGAGGATCATTACCCTCGCCTCCCAGGATGCTGGGAGGATCAAACAAGATTCCAGATACCGGCTATGAAGTGCCCAGCCCAGTGCCCAATGCATGGTTGGTGTTCAACAAACATCAATCCCCGCCCTTTCCCTTCCAGGGTGCTTTTTTTTAGCAGGGATCATAAAAATGTTTGGATCCATGTTGTCATGTCTGGAATTCACAAACTTCTAAGTCTATTTTGCAAGCTGATTGTCTGAGATGCACAGGTGCGAGACCTGGTGAGCACCCAGAGCTGCAACAGCGCAGAGGTGTGGTTCCAGGCCAATGCCTAGAAAGACTGACCAGCCTAGAAGACACCTTGGGTGGCCAAGAGACTTCCAGAAACTAGAGCAGCCAAAAAGAGAAAGGATTACTTGAGCTTCGGCTCCCGTCCTTCGCTTGTATACTGCCAGCAGATGGTTATTCTACTCCCATCCCGCTGCTGACCCGCATCAAGCATGAAGCCATGGAGCTGCCGCCGGCTGCTGGCCCAGGCCTGGCCCCCAAGCGCCCACTGGAGATAGGGCCCCGGGATGGTGTGGCGGTGGCCTCGGGGGCCGCGGTGGCGGCAGACGCAGCCCCTCTCAAACTGCCCTGAGTCTCCTACTACGGGGTGCCCAGCCTGGCCACCCTCATCTCCGGCATCCAGCAGGTGCCCTACCCCCAGGGTGAGTGGACCAGTCTGGGCACCAGCAGCCTGCCCACCACTGACAACCCCACCTCGTACCACAACGAGGACGACGAGGAGGATGATGAGGCCTACGATGCCATGGTGGAGGAGCAGTACGGCCAGATGTACATCAAGGCCCCTGGCAGCTATGCAGGTCCTGCGTCGCCATGCCACCCGTCAGAAGGAGCTGCCACATTTGATTTATCCAGTGCCCTATCAAAGGACGTTTAGGTTGTTTTCAATTTGTTGCAGTCAGGAGCGAAGCTGCTGAGAAGGCGCCGTGCATGGGGGTGTAAGGTTGACAGGTCCCTGCAGCATGGATGAGACGGGCATGGCTGCTGCTCTCACCGCCGGGGCAGATGACAGCAGGGAGCCCGGGCTGTTATTTCATCGTGTGGGGGGGGCATTGTCACCCACGCTGAGGACGGGCACCTTCATCATGGCAGGCCGATGAGGTCGAGGGATGGTGAAATGGAGCTGGCAGAGGACACAGCGAGGGGTGGGGTGGTGCCATGCTGGGGCGTCTCTCTTGTCCTCTGAAGGAGAGGGGGCTGCCTAGACCTGCACCTGCACCCCATCCTGTGCCTGATGGGGCTCACCTAGCCGTCCCTTTCATGCCCTCAGCAGAGGCTTCGGGCAGGCAGATGTTTAATGGCAGCTGGCAGATGTCACTCTGTGTAGCTACGGAGACAAAGCCACACTTGGGTATTGACACCAGCCACACACTTCCACGGTAACCCTCTCCCTGCAGGGGACAGCTCTGGCCCAGGGACTCTGGGAAAAAAANAGATGGGGCCCCGGGATGGTGTGGCGGTGGCCTCAGGGGCCGCGGTGGCGGCAGACGCAGCCCCTCTCAAACTGCCCCAAGTCTCCTACTACGGGGTGCCCAGCCTGGCCACCCTCATCTCCGGCATCCAGCAGGTGCCCTACCCCCAGGGGGAGCGGACCAGTCTGGGCACCAGCAGCCTGCCCACCACTGACAACCCCACCTCGTACCACAACGAGGATGACGAGGAGGATGATGAGGCCTACGACGCCATGGTGGAGGAGCAGTACGGCCAGATGTACATCAAGGCCCCCGGCAGCTACGCAGGTCCTGCGTCGCCATGCCACCCGTCAGAAGGAGCCGCCACATTTGATTTATCCAGTGCCCTATCAAAGGACGTTTAGGTTGTTTTCAATTTGTTGCAGTCAGGAGCGAAGCTGCTGAGAAGGCACCGTGCATGGGGGTGTGAGGTTGACAGGTCCCTGCAGCATGGCTGAGACAGGCGTGGCTGCTGCTCTCACCACCGGGGCAGATGACAGCAGGGGGCCCGGGCTGTTATTTCATCGTGTAGGGGGGGCCATTGTCACCTACGCTGAGGACGGGCACCTTCATCATGGCAGGCCGATGAGGTCGAGGGATGATGAAATGGAGCTGGCAGAGGACACAGCGAGGGGTGGGGTGGTGCCATGCTGGGGCGTCTCTCTTGTCCTCTGAAGGAGAGGGGGCTGCCTAGACCTGCACCTGCACCCCATCCTGTGCCTGATGGGGCTCACCTAGCCGTCCCTTTCATGTCCTCAGCAGAGGCTTCGGGCAGGCAGATGTTTAATGGCAGCTGGCAGATGTCACTCTGTGTAGCTATGGAGACAAAGCCACACTTGGGTATTGACACCAGCCACACACTCCCACGGTAACACACTGGGCAAAAATAAAAAATAAAAAATAAAAAAATAAAAAAAATAAAAAAAAAATCCGTATATATATATATATATATATATATATATATTTAATTTATTTTCACGACCGCCAGTGCTTTATTGCCTCTCTAGTAAATGCCTATTGGCTGAAAACTTTTCCATCTTTTCCCCACAGGGGTTCAAGCTGGCGGCATTTGCTGTCCTACGGGGTCCAAGGGTCAGGTTGGACGAGGAGGAAAGGGTTGTGTTGCCTCGACTCTCCAGCCTCCTCTACTTGGCAAGAAGTCTTGCTGCTGCATGGTGATGTGGGCCATCCCTGCTGGGGCAGAGCTGGCAACTCCAGCGCCTGAGTCTAAGGCACCATCTTCCACATTTGAAGGCAAAGGGCACCCGGTGGACGGTGGCGCAGGCACAGATGTCTCCCACATCTGCCAGGTAGCAGTCGAAGTCACTGATGAAGGTGCACTTGAAGCCCAGGGGCTCCAGCAAGCAGCGCATCTTTTCTTCCAGGCAGCAGGTACCCATGATTTGGGGCCCAAAAGCCTTGGGGATCCCCAGGTTCTTGCCCATCACAATCATCTGCAGCAGGTTAGGGAAGTATGGCCTTGCGAAGAGCCTCTTGGGCTGCTGATCAGAGGGGACATTGGTCAGCTTCTCCAAGCAGAACAGCTGGGGAATCTCGATGATGTCCTGTTCCACCAGGCCCAGCTCTGTCTTCAGGATGTCATGGTTCAGGTGAATACACTTCTCCACGTATTAATTCTGCTTCCTCAGGCTTTCATCACCCAAAAGTTGGTCGATGGTTTTGGCTTCCCTTCTGTTAGACAGGAGCTGATCTGCTCTAACTCCATCAAACAGAAAAGCATCACCATAGCCTTCCTTCTGTTTCTCTTGGAAGAGTTTGTAGCAGGCGCTGGGGCTGGCCAGGAGCAGCTGGAAGCCCTTTTTGCCCTCACTCTTCTCATCTGTGGGGATGAAACACATGAACTCATCCAGGTGGCTAGTCATTAGCCAATCGGAGTAGAGCTCCACCGGTGCTTGCACCTGCTGGTCATAGAGGAAGTCTCGGAGCGTCTTACTCATGGCCCGGCCCTCCATGCTGGGGTAAAAGCTGCTGCCAATGAGGACTCTGCCCAGGGGGTATTCTTTCCCTTGGACCTTGACAGGTGGGGACATCATCACATTCCCGATGGAATCCATGCTGGCCACTTTATGGTCCTCAGTGTCGTGGGTCATGTAGCCAATACCGGGGCTCAGTGAGTATTTCATGGGGAACTCATCGAGTTTGGGGGCTCGAGGCGTGTCAAGGATCAAGGATGTGGTCTTGTGGCGTGCCTGGGTGTAGCAGAAGACCATCTCATCCTGGAGCCACCTGCCCAGTCAGCCGGGGTCCTTGTAGACAGAGGCCACCTGGCTGTTGCTCTTCTCACTCAGCTCCGTCACTGTGTCCACAAAACCCTGCAGCTGCAGCTCCCTGCACAGAGGCACCTGGGTGCAGGGAATGAAGATGCAGGGAGCCACCCGAAACACCACCGTGTCTTTGTACAGCAGAGTCTCTGGAATTAACGGGTCTTGAGACTCCTCCACCAGGGATACAGAGTAGGTGATCAGGCCTGAGAATTCGGCGGACGGAAACACCATAGCTTTGAAGTAGAAGGTCTCTTTCAAGTGGTCCCTGAGGAGGGCCAAGGTGTAGGCATGCTGGCTGGGCCCCAGCACCAACTCAAAGGTACTGGAGTTGCCTTTTCGGGGCCAGTAGACTCTTGCCTTCTTTGACTCTTCCTCGGAGGTGTGAAGGACCAGCCGATATTTCTTTAAGAGGCAGCTGGGGCCTTGGACCTTCAGTGTCATCTGAGACAGATTCTTTATTTCCTCTGAAAAGATCACTCTGTTGGTCTTGTCCTCAAGTTGCTGGCCTGCATCAGCAGGGTTGCAATTCACAAGCAGGATGGCGCCCCAACCACTGGGACCCCAGGTCCATTTTTTAAGCTAATGTGCCCCAGCCCAAATGGCCAACAGACAGAATCATGAAGAAGATATGGGCATATATTTTTGAATGTATTTTTTTATATTTAAAATTATTTATACAAATTTAATATATTATAAAATCCAATTCTTAAAAAAAAGATATGGGCATATATTTAATTAATGGGTAATGTGCCCCAGCCCAAATGGCCAACAGACAGAATCATGAAGAAGATATGCAGAAATATGAAAACATGTATAACATAGTACTCCTCTGTCNGCAAAAACATTGTTAAGAAGTGCCTTGAGCTCTTCTCTGAGCTGGCGGAAGACAAGGAGAATTACAAGAAATTCTATGAGGCATTCTCTAAAAATCTCAAGGTAAGGAGGCACATGGTTATTTCCTTTACCACTTTCTTAGTAATTACGATAAACTCTTCCATTCTTATAGAAGGTAAGGCTATTGTAGTTGGATTGTTTTTTCTCTTCCCACTCTTGAAGCTTGGAATTCACGAGGATTCCACTAACCGACGCCGCCTGTCTGAGCTGTTGCGCTATCACACTTCCCAGTCTGGAGATGAGATGACATCTCTGTCAGAGTATGTTTCTCGCATGAAGGAGACACAGAAGTCCATCTATTACATCACTGGTACGTTGGTTCTGATTGAAGCCTTTTTGGAGGAGGAGGGAGCACATTCAGGGCTACCTGGGAACTGGCAGTATGAGGCACTTTGGTCACTGAGTCCATTGAATAATCCTACAGGTGAGAGCAAAGAGCAGGTGGCCAACTCAGCTTTTGTGGAGCGAGTGCGGAAGCGGGGCTTCGAGGTGGTATATATGACTGAGCCCATTGACGAATACTGTGTGCAGCAGCTAAAGGAGTTTGATGGGAAGAGCCTGGTCTCAGTTACCAAGGAGGGTCTGGAGCTACCAGAGGATGAGGAGGAGAAGAAGAAAATGGAAGAGAGCAAGGCAAAGTTTGAGAACCTCGGCAAGCTCATGAAAGAAATCTTAGATAAGAAGGTTGAGAAGGTAAGCCATTCTGGGACTAGGATCTATTTTGTAGCGTATCTTTAAGGTGGGCTTTGTGGTTTGAGGCAGGCTATTTTAATAAATTTGGCAAAGATTAGGCATTCCTTCAGTTAACTTCTGAGAGTAGGTAAAATACCATTTTTTTTTTTTTAACTGGATCTAACCTCACTGCAAACTCAGCCTTCTGGGATTATAGGTGTGTGTGCCACCACACCTGGCTAATTTTTTGTAGAGACAGGGTTTTGTTTTGCCATGTTGGCCAGGCTGGTCTCAAACCCAAGTTATCTGCCCATCTCCTCCCAGTGCTGGGATTACAGGCATGACAGTTCCTATTTTCTCTCTTTTTTGAGTGCAATGGCGTGATCTCAGCTCACTGCAACTTCCGCCTTTCGGGTTCGAGTGATTCTCCTGCCTCAGCCTCCTGAGTAGCTAGGATTACAGGCGTGTGCCACCATGCCTGGCTAATTTTTTGTAGTTTTAGTAGAGACAGGGTTTCACCATGTTGGTCAGGCTGGTCTCAAACTCCCGACCTCGTGATCTGCCCGCCTTGGCCTCCCAAAGTGCTAGGATTACAGGCATGAGCCACAGCGTCCTGCTCCATTTTCTCTTTCAAAGTGAAAAGGCTTTTGTGATTGTCCACAGGTGACAATCTCCAATAGGCTTGTGTCTTCACCCTGCTGCATTGTGACCAGCACCTACGGCTGGACAGCCAATATGGAGCGGATCATGAAAGCC